ATGCAACTACCTATCTCTTCTATCTGGTAATCAAAATATTCTCTTGATACTTTGTCGATTTAAAAAATTTATAGTCATTAATGTATAAAGTTTACTGAATGCAGACATTCGGTAAATTCACAATCTATTTTATTTAATATGATAAATTATTTTATATTTTTTAACTAATAAAAATTTTTTAAAATCAACAAGTATCATGATAAATCAAGTACTCGAAATTTCAGAAATGACAAATACAATACAATTAAAGAAATATCCTTTTATTTCTTTGATAGATTTAAATTCTATCTTTATATTTAATGTAGTATCTATATTTGTAACATATAACTGATGTATTAATTGTAAAATCTGCAATGTTGCAACATTAACAAAATTTTATTTTTTAACAATCTGAAAAGCATTTACAATATCTAATCATATATACAACGCACATAAATACAAAAATACTTCAAAATATACATGGTCATGTAAATGAAATATCTTTGCTACAGAAACTACTGAATTTTTTATATTGAAGAAGATATGTGAAGACATAATCAAATAATCACAGTTTTAAATTATGTTTTTGATAAATGCTACTTAATGATTATTATATGTAGTGTTCCATAGCAACACTAATTGTATTTCTTTAATCTTAGTTCGTTTTGTAATATTAAATGATAGATAAAAAGCAGATGTATGATGCGATATATTAAATTAAATAATTGCAATTGTATTTCTATTTTACTGCGCTGTGTAGTTTGCTTTTAGTTTCAATAATTAAGGGCCTAGTACTATAGAGATCGCCCAATATGACTTGTTTCTTGATTATCGACAGTGTTTCCAATCCTTTTGCGTAACATTGCCTAACCTTTTCTTCATCTTTTAACGCTTTATTTTCTTTGAATTCATGTTGTATTTTTCGCAGAGCATACATTCTGAAAAGTATCAAAGGATTATTTTTTACATATACTCTTTGTCATTCTCTGCCATAAAAAGCATATAAGCACAATTAGATGATTCACAGATTACAATTATTTGCAAAATAAAAAAACTTATACATACTATTTCTAATATAAATATATACAGAACAAAATCTTATTAATATATTGCTATAAGAATTCTTGGGGACAAAATCCTAAGTAGTATCTCTTTAAAAAAAGTATAAAGGAAAACGAATTAGATATTTATTTGGGGGTTTAATATAAACACATCGTCTTATATATAATGATATTATATTACCTGTAATTGTACGAGTTCCATTTTTTGCTTTCCCGGATTAAAGTCCGATAAAGGTTTAGAATCGCGTCTCGAGTAGGATTCATTGTTTCTAAAAACTAAAAATCCACTACAATTTAAACGCAGCTAAATCCGACTCTACTGTGGCGGTCTGGGTCCGAGCACATGACACATGGTTATGTGGTTATGTATGTAGAATTGTCGAGTATCGATGGTTTGATGGCGTCTCGAGGTTACTCGTTAAGATTCCATGTGTATAAGTAGACTTGTGCGAGTCGTAAATTATGGTAATATTACTGGTATTTATTATAAATTGTACATTCGATATAAATTGTACGTTTGTCGAATTTATTAATTCTGATAAAAAATTTATGTTTTGTTACATAATCTCCGGATATTTATTTACACAATTATATTAAATAATTATTAACTTTTCATGTGAATTAAAGCACTCCTTGGTTTTAGGCAAATAAAATAAACAAATGTTGCACATAGTTTAACTTGTCTACATTATAATATATTTTAAAATAGTCTTATAGTGAAATTAAATAGAGAGAAATTTATGTAAAAATATAATAAACATCTATTTTTAGTTTATGCAAGATGCAAATGTTGCAGATTTATACAAAGACAACTTTGAAATCAATATGAATCAGTATTTGCAATTAGATTTCGAAATAATCTTATCTATATAGTGTAAATAAGTATAACAAAAGTATATAAATGTAAAAATCTCTATTTTACAGTTTATGCAAGATGCACATGCTTGAAGATATTGAGGCAACTTTGAAGTCAATGTGAATTAATATATTTGCAACGCATTTTCTTGTAAATAAGAGAAAATTAATTAACATAATATAATGTGGTGTGTAAATATATCAAAGCATATTTCAACTTGAACAAGATGATTGATGTCAATCTCTGCTTAAAGTATATTTTTTACAGGTGTATCACGTGTCGCTTCTGCAAGGAAACATTGATAAATAATGTTAAAACAGCCTATAGAAGAGTCTCAGTTGCTGCCAATGTCGATAAGAGTAACGAACTGGTGCTCTTGGGCCAGAAATATACAACGGACGATTGGACGAATGTCACGCCAAACGTTATCGCTAAATTGGGGAGAAATCTGCACGTTCAGCAATACCATCCACTTTCGCATTTACGTCAACGTATTGTGAATTATTTTTATGGACAGTTCCGCAGTAAAAGTGGGACTCCATCGTTTAGTATCTATGACAATATATGTCCTGTAGTCACAGTCGAGCAAAACTTTGATTCCCTTCTTGTACCAAAGGATCATCCAAGTAGAAAGAAAACTGATTGTTACTTTATTAATCAAGATACGTTACTTAGAGCGCACACCACCGCGCATCAAGCTGAGTTGATCTCGATGGGATTGAATAATTTTCTCGTCATCGGCGATGTGTATCGACGTGACGAAATTGACAGAACGCACTACCCGATTTTTCACCAAGTTGATGCAGTCAGATTATGTACGTCGCAAGAGATATTTCGCGACGTGAACGATTCCGAAAATCTTAAGTTGTTTGAGCACAGAGGAATAGAAAGTGTTGACAAGCAGGCTTGTCATAGTTTAGAAGCGGTGAAAATAATGGAGCAGGAACTAAAGAGTACTCTTATTAGTCTAGCACAAGCTATCTTTGGAAAAGGTATTGCTTCTCTTTAATATTTTCAATTTTACTTAAACACATTTTTTATTTTTAAGCGAGATTACCTTGTCGCAGTTTTTCTCCATTAACTCATAATTGGAACATATGAATCCTAATGACTCTAAGAATAATTTAAAAATAGTATTTTTTTTTAAATCTTCAATGCATATTTATGCATCTAACGAGATTTAGAAGCAATTAATTCTATCAATAATATTTTATTTGTGTTTTTCAAACAGTTTTATATCTCATAGATTGAGAATATATAATTGAACTTGAAAAATTTTCTGAAAGAAAATAAAACTAATAACAAAAAAATTTTAGTGAGTTTCAAGAACTCACATACCTATCTCTTTAGCGTCATAAAAAATTTGTTCTTGTTGCGGATAAAATGATTTGAAATTAATTTGAATACATTTCTTGTTAGATGTGCAGTGCCGATGGGTCGATCAATATTTCCCATTCACGCATCCATCATGGGAGCTAGAAATATTACACAACGATAATTGGATCGAAATATTAGGCTGCGGCATTATGCGTCAGGAAATTCTACAGAAATCTGGTGCCACGGATCGGATCGGATGGGCGTTCGGTCTCGGTTTGGAACGTTTGGCCATGCGACTTTATAATATTCCAGATATAAGATTATTCTGGAGCAACGATGCGGGCTTTCTAAATCAATTTAAAGTAGATAATCCTAATACACATATACAATACAAGGTGAGATAAACGTTGAAGAACTATTTTAAATATTGTTATATCTCTCTATACATTTTGTTAATTTAGTTACAACTTATAAAAAATTGACATAAATATAATTTTTAGCCCATCAGTATATATCCACCTTGTAACAATGACATAAGTTTCTGGTTGCCAGAAGACGGAAGTTATTCTTCTCACGATTTCTACGATATAGTTAGAGAAATAGGTGGTGATGTTATTGAGCAGATTTCATTGAAAGACGAATTCATACATCCAAAGACTAAAAAAACATCTCATTGTTACAGTATAGTGTACAGACACATGGAGCGCACGTTGACTCAAAACGCAGTCAATAAAATTCATGATCAAGTAGGAAAAGCGGCAGCCGCTAAACTTAATGTAGTTATTCGATAAAATTAAAAATAAAATGTTTTTCTAGAAAAAAATTAGACTTTTACGTATAAGCTCTATAAGATACCTTGATAAAAGAGGCAAATGTGAAAATCGTGTAAACAATGCAAATATCACAGGAAAAGGAATATATTATTTTATTTGTAAATAAATTAATTATAAACGCATTACATAGCAAATAATAGTCCTCTAGGAATAACTATATTACTTGCGATACGTTTTACATTAGAGATAACAACGATTACAATTATGTTCTACATACTTGTAATATATACATGAATATAAAACATTATGTAATCTAGTATTATTATTTATTTACGTGCTGGAAATATAAATAATAACAAAAGATATGTCCCCATATAGAAATATTCTGAAGGGATAAGATTAAAAAAAAATGTTTTTCGATTAATTTCAGAGAATAAAGCTTCTTATACAATATAATAACATCAGTACATAAAATGCCGGTTAGGTTTAATTCGCAAAAATCACAGTTTTTTTATTTCTGATACTCAAATTCTATACTTTAATCGTGTAGTTCTAGCCTTCTTTAAGTCAAATGCATCTAGTTATTGTTATATAAATTAAGATTACTTGTAGTGATCCATGCGAATGCTCAAAGATTTAGATACATGAAAAATACTGTTATGCTCGATTAAAGAACGTACTTAATTAATATTTAAAAAATGAATGGTATTTAGAGCAGACATATAAATGTCGCAATGTGTGCGTGTGAACACACTGAAATGGAAGATGCGACCTTTGGCAATGCATTAAAAAATAAATTAATATACAAACAAAAGAAATATGTATAAAGAAAATTAAGTATAAAAAAAGTCATGTATTTAATCTAAAGCTAAGATGCATAGTAAATAAGCTTGCAGGAAGAATTAACATTATGCGGAGAATCGTGATATTGATCCGCTTATAACAAATTTAATCCAATCCATATTTCCTTGAAGTCAGCAGATATAATACAAGAAATTTGGAAACTGATGGTTTTTATTATTTTTTTTTTGCGATATTATATTTCCTGTTACATTAGTCCATTTTAGGACTAATGTCATAAAAATTGATTGTTACAAAAATAGTTGATTGTTACAAAATGGTGCATATGAGATATCTTTCTTATTTCATTAAAAATTATATTGGATTGGATTAGGGATATTGTAAAACGAAAGAAAATTTTTTTACAGCTCTTCCTTGTATTAACAAATTATGTTTGATGTTTATCCTCCTTTGTCATCTATATGCAGACAAATTAATTTCCGCATAAGATTTTAGGATAATTTAGTGTAACTGGGAGGTGAAAATTTCTTCCTCAAAAATTTCAGGATGTACAGTGGCATACACGAGACCAGTGTTATCACCAATACCTTCCATAAGAAGTCTGTTGTTTTAATAAATTCAGCATCTATATTAAAGTAATAAGAGAAATAATATATATATTAACGACGTGTATTTTTGCTTAATTATCTTTGTTGTGAGATATTGTAAACTTACCGAAATAATCCTTCAGAACGACCAACGATAATAAATAAAGCGCTAGAGAGAAGATTTCTGCAAGCATCATTATATGATGCCAGGTTCTAATTGTTAAAGCAACCATTATTAATTCTGTCAAAACTAGCGCTGAAAAACTTATGGCCACTATATGAATAAATTCATCTTCGAACATTATAAGTGCGCCATACATGATTACTCCTCCTGGAATATTACGATGCAAAAGATATATATTGTTACTCTTTTTGTGTATATTATCTAAATTTAATAAAACCTGTACGTACCTTGATATATACTTATCAAAACCCACATAAAAAAAGTTTTATATGATAATGAACGGCCTTTACTAAGTTCTTTATAAAGTTCCGGATAAGTAAGCGCTATCTTTCCTGATACATCTTTGTCTAATACCAATGAAAAGACGGGAAACATTGTGTATATTGTAGCGTATCTAAAAATTTTTATATACATAATAAAATTAATATATTAAGATTTATAAGTTTTGTTGTAAGAATCACTTAGAATCATTTTAATCAATTTCGATTAACTTTGATCAACTTTAATCAACGATTAACTCGATCAACAGTGTTCCTAACAGCAATATTTAGATGTGTATAGTCTCTTCTTAACTATCTTTACATAGTGACACTGCATGGTGCCTATTCTTTTACAATACAACCATAAACTCATTTTAAAATTGCAACAGTAGTCGCGATAGTCAAAAGCGTCAATAATTGATGTAGATTCAGTATTATATATAATATGATATAAATAGATAACATTTTATTGATTGTAACATCTAATTTATTTTACAGTGTTAATATAAATGAAATTATTAATTTTTTATTACTTAATAAATATGAAAGTTATAATTTCAAAAAAGATCGATGATCAATTATTGGTTAAAGTTAATCAAAGTTGGTCGAAGTGGCCCTTGGACTAACAGCAAGTTTTAAATTTAATTTTTAATGAGTATACTTACCCAACCATAAGAAAACCTTGATATAAGGCAACCGAAGACAAATAAAAGACTGCAGAAAACACAGCCTGCATAGTCGAGATTATCAAACCGCGATGTATAACGAATTGACTCAATGCAGCTGATCGTTTATAACTTCTTCTACCGTGAACTAATAGTAAGTTAGCGAGATGACTAAACTGAGAAATTGAAAAATCAGCAGCTAGCGATGCTTGTCTTCCCTCAAGACCTTCGAGACCAATTCCTATAAGAAAATACAAAATATAATAAAAAATCTAGAGAGGTATAATTAAAAAATTAAACAAATACCAGCGTCTGCGGCTTGTATCATGGAAACGTCGTTACCGCCATCACCAACAGCCGCCGTTCTCTTGCCAGTATGTCTTTGTATGAGACTAACAACTTCGGCTTTTTGTGTGGGAGAGCATCGGCAACAAACAACGGCGGGTGAGCCGCAAGCGAGTTCCAGAAATTCTTGCTCATAATACTGTAAGCACACCTCTAGGGAATCGCCGCTGATAACTAAGGCACAATCTTGCTTCTTGCGAAATGTATTCAGTTCCAAGTGAGCGTCGGTGCGCGTCACGACAGACTTGAAGACGTGCAGGCCTTGAGTGCGTGACACAAGACGCGAGGATTTCGCTATACAAGTGGCGGTCTCCAATTTATCACCGGTCAACATCCATATCTTGATTCCGGCATTCCTCAAGAGTTCCAGAGTAGGCCTCACTCTGTCTTGTAACCTATCTTCGACACCGGTGACGCATAACAGTTCCATTTCTCTCTCGAGACTTTCCACCACCGCAGCGACTCTTGATACACGGTCGCTGACGCTCATTCTCGCCGCGTTGTATCTATAAAACATATAATATAATTCAGTCATATATTTTATATAAATAAGTAATACTTTTCAATAATACGTTACTTTGCTTCAAAATCAAGGTACTGATCTTCGGTCAAATTTTTCTTTGCCACAACCAATGTTCTGAGACCTTCACGTGCCATGTTTTCGCACACCTCATCCAGCCAATCATTATATTGCACAATACCAGACATTACAACATCAGCACCTTTCAAATAGAATATGATCTCAGAGCTGGACTCCTCCCTCACAATTATTCCCATTCGCTTGGTTTCCGAGGTAAAAGGGAATATTTGGAGTATAGTATAATTCAATATTTGACCGTTCAGAGTCTTCAACTGCATCGAATTTAAGTCCCGCTTGACCAGAGCCAGTCCTATTTCCTCCGTCCATTTCACCAGAGCCACTTCATCCGGGCTCGAGGCTTGGTAATTACGCTTCTGTTCTGGCAGATAATAATGTTGATCCGCCTCTGTTTGACTGAAATATTAAAATTTCAATGTAATATTAAGGACTTCCTAGCTTTTCGATTAATGAGAAATTACCTTTGGATGGAACCAGTATCACCAGTTTCCATGGTCTGCACGCTTACCGAATCCAGATTCGAGGATTTGTTTACTTCATCGTACACCGGAGTCACGTTGTGGCACAGAGCTAGAGCATGCACGGCATCGTAGATCCGGGTATTCTCGGATCTTCGGACCTTCCCACTGTGCGCGGATGTCGGCTTCACCGGTGAGTGCTCCGTGTCAGTAGGGTAATAAGTCTTTAATACTGACGTTACTTCATCGAACGTCTCCTGGCCGTAAGATATGGTGCCCAGATGTAACTTCTTGAACACCATTTTATTCTGCGTCAACGTACCGGTCTTGTCGCTCAGTAAATACGATATACGTCCGAGCTCTTCCGGAATAGTAGTTGTCCGTACAACCGTACCGACAATATCCTTATCCCTTTGTATGCACCACGCGTAAAACGCTTTGCCCATGTCCAGATTTACTCTCAAGCTGATCGGTATGATGTAGGAAAACAGCAAGACGAAACGGAACATGTAACGATACCATGGTCCGCTGAATCCTTTTAAACACATCATTACAAGCGCGAGTCCTATTACCGCACAAAATAATACCTGCCGAAATACAGTAAAATATAAAAACATCTGTGCACGCACATATCAATTTTGATGTATAATACTTTCGTATTTTTACATGTATAATACCTTCGTTAATTGATTGATTTCTTGATCAAGCAAACCAACTTTCGATCGGATTTCTGAGTGATTCATCAGAGATCGCGTTTCCTGCCCGGTATAAACAACAATACCAAGGGCGGAACCAGATGCCACTGCTGTGTTGGCCCATAATGTGTTGTCCACACCCAAACTTTCTTCACTGCTGTATCCATCATACTAGAAATAAAAGGTAATTACATAGAAAAAACGAGAAGGTTTTAAACCAAAAATAATAAAATTAAAATTTACCCTTGAAAAGGTACCAATAAAGCTATGTATATCCTTTTGAGGTTTCTCGACATACAAACTGGCTTTGATATCAAACAACTGAGAATTGCTTTCCAATTTTTGCGTTGCAGGCACTGCTAATCTTAATTTCCAATCTGTTTCTCCATCCAACTGATCGGTTCGCACAAAACACGCACCAGATTTCTCAGTTGTGCGTAATAATACTAAATCGGCTGGTACTCTTTGACCTTTTTCTACTATAACCTATTAATAAAATTCAGAGAAAAGCATAAGAACTAAACTTATCTATCAAAACTTCGTTATGTAAAAGAGTAGTAAGTTACAAAAATAATTACTACTGGATAAAAATACTGTAATATAACTTACCAAGTCACCCACGCGTAATTTGGAACTTGGTACTAATTCTGGTGTATCAAAACCTTTCACTAGTCTATAATACTTTTGTGCATTGACTTCCTTGTCCCTCTTGTATCTTCTAAAATCATCGACGGCTTCGCGGAAAATTGTTACAGTTAAAACAAAGCACAATGGCCCCCAATACGTGTACAAGTATCCTATTCTTATGTCTGGTATAAATTGAGATATAGCCATAAGCAGAAAGTATAAATTCAAAAAGAATTTAAATTGTTGAAAGAGGACCTGTAAAACAAAGATGGGTATTATTAATAGCACTGCTTCAAGCAATTCGAAGAATTACTAAGATCATTTCTGCCGAGAAGAGTACGTACCAAAGGCAGGAAAGAAACAACATTGTATTTTTGATTTCTTATAACATTCGTGGGAAACTTCTCATGCATAGGCTGTCCAATATGGATAACTCTGGCTCTTAATTCCCGTTCTCTGCAGCATCTCCTCCACATCCAAGTACAGCATCTGTAATCGTAACAATTCCTATTTAATAAAAATATAAAACTGGGTCATTTCTTCACTACTAAACCGCATTAAAATTTTTCCCCTGCTTTTGCTAAACTTCAAATATGTGTCTATTTCATTTTAAATACAGTGTACACTAGTTCAAGTATAAAGAGCAACCTTATATTGATAAAATAACATTCTTATCGCCAGTGTTTGCCAAAATATCACTTAAAAAATATACAGCATCAAATCTTACAGCAAATTTGGTCATTTGCATTATACTATCAGTGCATGCTAAAAGCTGCTATATATAAGATCAGCAAAATTGTAAAAGTAGTTAAGTACAAAAGAAGTTAAATGTAGATATAAAAGCATCTAAATATTTTAAACGATTAAATACTCAATGATATTGTCACGTTACTTAATAAAATATACATATATTATTTTATTGTCAAAGTTAATTATATTATGCTACTGCATTTAAATACTTTATATAGAGCAGTTTTTAATGTATACTAGAGAGACCTTATAACAGAGTTTATAAAATGCCAAACTTTTGATTAGGTTCTTTTGTTCTTGTCAACTTCAGCAAGTTATAATGAATAAAATAGTATATATAGAAGAAACTATGAGTGCTTTCCAGCAAGGACACAGTCAGATATGTGTAATATAGTGAATCGTTTCATCCTTGTTTAACGTAGGCAAACAATAAGGATTAACTGTGTAATGATTCATTGTGTTACTGCGTCTGCACATAAATATATATATATATATGTGTGTGTGTGTGTGTGTGTGTGTGTGTGTGTGTCTCTTTTTCACTCTTTGACAAAATTGCTAGTAGTCAGACTCTATTAGAGAATTTCTAATGTATACTAATCTAATATAGTTTGAGTGACCTCCATTTTCTCATTTCACCATTAATTCGACATTTGTAAGACTATGTGATTAATGATCATGCACTCAATCAATTTTAATCATTAAAAAGTTTGGATGAAAGTTTGGAAACAAATACGCAGTCACGTCGTTTCGAATCGATCTATATTCTTGCATAGATTTATCAAACAATCGCTGTCAAACATCAGACAGCTGATCGGAAACTCGCTGCTGAGAATGAATAATTATCGCGTGGGAGGAATTTCCGCGTCGTAAAAGAATGTTTCGAGATCGAAGTTCAAGTTCGTCGCAATGAGGAAAATACGTCACCTCGACCAGGTATTGTCATTCCGAGGTTTGGATATCAGCGGGATGTCCTCCTTGGACATTCTTATAACGTTGCTCTGCGTCTCCATTTCGGGACTACTTCCTCCACATTAGACGACACTTACTCGCAAAAACACCCACTCGAGTACCTTGTACACTTATCTTTTGTAGGAATACACTATCCGATAAATGTTTCATCAAACATTAGTAGCTCTATCAGTATTGCGACTATTATGACATCACGTCGCAACCGTGAAACGCACGATTCTAGCAAGATGCGCTCGTATGAGAAACTGGCGTCTGATTAGCACGGATTTTAAGTGAGTCTGTCCACTTCGCGATTGGTGGCGTTCGGTCGATACAACAGTCCCAAGCCAATAATTTGTCTAAAAACCTTTTGAAACGTCACATTCTCGACACGTGATCGAAACAGTTTGAAATATAGTACCAAGAATCAATAGGTTTGTTTTCACAGGTAGGTTCACACATAGGTTTGTTGCTTCAAAATTCCCAAAATTTTTGTACTTTAAACGAGATAAATATATATTCAAGCATTGAAAAAAGAAAAAGCAAAGATGCTTTAAGTAAAAAGTATAAGCAACGCAAACAGACCTAAATCTCTTTCTCAAATATTTTCATTTCATTTGTTTAAGAACGAAATAATTGGATGAATAATTAAACAAATACTAAACAATTAAACAAAAAAATTTACAAATAATAAACATTATTATATCTTATAGAATCATATATGTGAGAAACACAAGGCATTGATTTCTAATATATAATAAACATTATATTGTTATCAGACTTATTAAGTACGCGATATTATCCCAATTAGAAAAAGTTATTGTAATCTTTAAAGAGGAGATATTTATTAAAAAAAATTTCATCCATAAGATATAATGACTCAAAATAATGATAATTGTTATTTCAATTTCTGTAAAAAAAGATCATCCAAATAATAGAATCTCTCCAAATAATTAATAATAATAATAATAATAACGTGCTATGTATGAGAACAATGTCTTAAGCCGAAATCCAGACTACGCATTGAAAATTGAAATTGAAGATTAAAAGATTGAAATTTGACGAATCAAAACAATAGAAGTTAAAATTTCTCTGTCCTCATTGGTCAAAATTAATTTTCAATCTTCAATTTTAATTTTCAATGCATAGTCTGATTCCGAATCAGACTATGACTTTGACGAATCAGTAAAGTTTACACCGAGCACTTCATACGCGTATTAACCATATCCGTATCAAATCACTTGATATGCTTAGTATAAACCAGTATAAACGCTGGTAGATTATTTTAGTCTGATACTTCACGAGTATCAGACAAAGTTGGTACGCGTATCAAATGGTATCAAAGAATCTTGATGTGCTGTAAACGCTTGGTTCGTTTTAGATCGTTATATTAAAATTCGCCATTGCTTTCAAGTTAAAGTTAGAATTACAGGTTTTATATCTTGAAAACAGTGAAGACATTATATCACCTAACTTGATCCGTTCTGAGACAAATCGAGATAAATAAGGATCAAATATTTAATCAATTTGATAAGCGTACTAACCGATTTAACAGTGTAAAAAGGGTCTATGCCGGAAATGATTTGCTCGCTTCCGTTCTGGAAATTTCTTGAAGATGCATCCCGCTCCAGACGACCATCCAAGAACGACGACGAAATCAAGTCTATCTTGATGGTCAAAAATTCAATTCTTTGAAGGCCGTTTCCGAACTCATGTTTATATGACTTTTTTTCATCCTTACAATGAGTGGATAATATGCTCTTAAAATTTGGCCAACTATTTCTGAAACACCCTGTATATAGAGTATATAGACTCACTCTGTGTCGGCATCTTTGATTTGACTGCTAAACGACTGCCATGTTATCAGTTGTGAGCACCTACAAGAGCAAAAGTCACTTAGATTCCCTATTTTTTTTTTTGCTGAACCAGCATTCATTTTTTTTCTACTTCTTTCTTTCTGAAGAGAAAAGGAAAAAAGATGAACTGATGTAAAAGTTCATCTTTCTTCCTTTTCTAAATAGACTTTAGTATTTGAATAGAGAATACTGATTGGTAGAAACGGTCATGCGCGAGGGATAACTATTAGCATCATTTTTGGCTGAGTGAACTTACTGTTCTCAAGGCTTGTATCCACGATGCTAGAAATCGATCCGAGACCTCAAATGAAGAAAGAATTAACAAGTCACATTTGAACAATTTGATCACATGACCAATGCGATTGGTCACTTCTTTCTTCATCCGAGATCTCGGACCGATTTCTAACATCGGGGAAACAAGGCTTTACCTATACTGTGCTCTAATTATACAGAAAGAAAATTATCCAATCGAATTCCTATTATAAGGACAAATGTAAAATTATCCAATCGTATTTCTATCATAAGGATAGACGTAAAATTCGATCGAATACTTTTCTTATGCATACATTTATGCGATTATGCAAATTTGTTTGCAGGATAAGTCCATAAAGAACAATATTGCTTTCTTCATTTTGATGCTGCATGCAATGGAAACAATGTATTCAGGACAGATAATAACAACGATGGCTGCAGAAAAAGCATCTTTACAACTATTGTAAGATCCTTTAATATTCTTGTGCACCCTTAATTCCTCATTAATTGGAGCTAAATGTATAAATCAGTCATATTAAAAAAATCTTACAGTTGTGCAAAGCTGCTTTTTCTGTTGAACGCACGCGATTACATGTTGATTATCAGAAATTGGTCTTTTTTTTTACAGAAATTTAATTAAAAGGCAATAATTATCACTATTATCTAGATTCTAGATATAAACGAGAATTTCTTGTTTATACGCGTATACGCGTGCATAATGGTTAGAGCGTTGTTATTTTAACATGAATCGAATACTGTCCAGTGTTTGCAGAGTATCTCGCTTAAATAATACAACGTAAAGGACTTCGAATAGAGTCGAACACTATTTCGAGCGCGTATAATGCATAACTTTCGATCGATCGCATTAGCATTTCCCGCGTGAGATCGAGAATAATGAGATCTGACGAGATTTACACGTAAAATTCGAGGTAAAATTATAATAACACAAAGATCCTATACGTATCAACTATCATCTCATAATAATCTCTATTTATATCTAAGCTCTCGAATCATGCAACTATCTGAGACGATTAATCTCTTTGCATTCCTTTTCCTCTTTCGTTAGTCGATTAACAGAGACACAATTGATATTGTGTCGGAGAACGTCAGAAATAAATGATGAGGTTTCTAATCGATAAACAACGAGAAAAACAAATACCTAAGTCCTAAGAGAAGTGCATCGCTTGAGTGTTTATGTATTGTGTTGCTCGTGCAGTTTACGTATTGGAACTAAAAACAAAACCAATCATATTAAAGAGTTCTACAACAGTTGCAAAGCTGATTTTTCTGCTGAATACAATTATTGTTGGTATAATTCACTTAACGCTGCAAATTCTTCGTTGATCAATCAGAGGAAAGAATCTTATAAATGATAAATCAAAGAATGCTTCAAAACATTTGCAGTGTGAAATGATCGCATCCTCTGTTGTACATATATTATAAATTGAACTCTTATACAGTGTCTATAATACAGTATGCCTTAAGCCATAAGAAGTTGATAGATTGATTATTTTTCTCACAATCGAATGTGATTGGTCAATTTCTTACAGCTTAAAGGCTTACTACTTTATTGTAGACATTGCTTTACGTTCATTCTTTCTTCTTCTATGTCTATTTTCTTTTATCTGCATTGCAAATTATTTTTAATTATTTTAATTGGAATTACATTATAATTATATTGTATTTTATTAACCCCATTATGCGATCTCAATGTGTCGAAAACATGTAAATTCAACGTCATAACTTTTGTATCGAGCTCTCAGAGCTTGAATTGTATCTTTATAGAATGTTTAATAAATTAAGCTCTCTCTCTCTCTCTCTCTCTCTCTCTCTCTTTTATTTTTTCTCTTTTAAGTTTTGTGTCTACAATGTTAGAAATCTTCCAAGACATCCGGCGGAAAAAGAATTAACAAATTACATTTGAACAATTAAGTCATTTGATGAATGCGATTGTTCTTTTCCATCTAAGATCTTAGAACAATTTTTAACATTGTGGACACGAGATTTTATTTAGCGTCTCTTACAACATGGAAAGAACAGTTTTGTTAAAGTATCTAAAAATTTAGCTAGACACAGATTTGAAAATAATTTTGTTGGAGCAAAGCAAGTAATTATGTAGCGCAGCTTAATTGCTATAAAACATCACAACTTTTTGGAACATTATCATCAAGTTTGAGCGTCAGACATAATTATTTTTATGATTCAACAAAGTTATTTTCAGATATCTAAATCTGTTTAGCTAAATTTTTAAATACATCAGCAAAATAATTCTTTCCATGTTCATTTTTCTTCTGTTGACTCGTTTCTTTCTCTATTTTTACGTTCTCTACTTACGTTCTCTACTTTTGGCCTCGACAAAAAAGCAGTAAAAGAAGATATGTATATCGCGGAGATAAAAATACAGGCCCAACGAACTGCGCCCACGTTCTTCTTAGATTGAACAATGCTGATTAATAGATCAATCGACGAATTTTTACTGTGGCATTTTGTGGAATATTGACTTGTTACATTATTTCTCGAAATGTAAATACTACCATTTTTATCGTATTATTGATTTTCTATACGACCTCGATATATCGCGCAAAACCTCATTTGTTGTCATTGTACTTTATCTTGTACATTTTTATATGACTTTCTGCTACTGTCGCACATTTGACTTTTGCTCTATGTATCAAGTCAAAAATATACATGATGGGAAGAAATAGATAATGTCTTTTCATCGATTTTCATTTCAAGAGACTGTTTAAACACTTCTTCTGTATAATGCTAAATACATACAGTTTTATTTATACGATATCATTTTAACATACTGTCGATCTATAAAAATTTGTTAGAATATGGTTATTCTTCTCGCGGCAAAAAAACATAGCACCGAATAAAAAAGATGTAATTCTTATGAATAGATTTTAATATTTATTCCAGTAGAATAGTTATTCTTGAATACAAATATAGCACTGGACAAATAAGATGCAGTTCTTACGAATTAATATCAACATTTGTTTCATTAGAGAATAGTTATTCTCGAATACGAATCTAGTATCAAATAAAAAAATGCATTTTTTACGAATAAAGTTTGACATTATTTAATTTATTCAAAATATGTTCTGAATCTTAATAAATTTAATACTTCAATCAAGATTATTAAATTTATATTCAAGATTGTTAAATTAAAACAAATAGAATTTG